TTAGTAAAATCGTTGATTATTACGAGTGCGATAAAAATTAAAAAATTGGGAAAAAAGAATTGTATATATTTAAAAAAAAACTGACCTTTCTCTTTGGAACTTTAGACTCTGCACAACCTGTGGTATTTTCTGGCGAAAATTCCATAGATGTAACGTGTCATCTGCAGTGGCGGAAACCAATGCTCCCTCATTGATTAAAAATTGTAATTGTATCACCGCTGTACATCCTTCGTGTTTCACGTGCGCATCTACACCTGGTCGGCCCAAACTGTTTTATTGTTTATTTTAATTAAGGAAATATATATACACATCGAGCATTTATTTTATCGATATTTTAACAAATAACAGCAATGAACAGAGATTACATTTTAAATAAATCGTGCCTCGCTTTCTATCTCCACGGAGAGATGGAACGCCTATATTTTATAATTTTACTTCTGCATCGTGCGAGCATTGATTTTCTGCATTCTTCATAGATACAGGATCGATTCTTTACAGAGAGATTTTTATCGAGCAATAAAGCGCATCGTTCGGATGAAAGTAGTTACTTTGTCGCAACTACCTGTCTCGATGGCAACTAGGAAGCTTATCGAGCTGTGATGAGCATTCACTACCTGATAACTCTTTAGTCGGAATAGACCAATAAAAGCACCCACGTGAAAGAGCACATGGTTGACGAACCATAAACCAACAGCACCATGTTAATTAATCCATTCAAATGATATTTCTTGAAAAATTATTTGAAATCTAGAAAGGTAATCGAAAAAATAAACTTGAAAACTTTTTTTTTTTTTTTGAAAGAAAAGATTATCGTAATAAATCCTTCATATATACGTATCAAAGTATGTAGAATGAAGAATGCAAAATGCATACATATTCTTTTGTTTATTATTGCAAGGAGGATTTAGAAAAAAAATTTTTTCCAATATTATCTGGAGATAAGTTAATCTTTTTCTTTTTTTATATTATTAATTTTCAATCATAAAGAGAGAGAGGCTGAAGAACGAGTGGAACGAAAAGAAAATGAAGATTTATCAGGGATGTTTGTGAAAGCAGTACTTATTTACCTGATCTCAAATTGAGCGTATTAATGTTAAAAAAAAGGATACATTCTAAGAGATCCTGATTTAGTGCCAATAGCAAGAAGCCTTTGAATTGGATCGAATGCCACCGCTGTCGGCTGATGTGGAAAGCCATGTCTGAATGTCTGAAACATAAAAGCATTTGTTTCATTTCATGTTTCCTGCTTTAGTCAGCTGAAAGTCTATTCAACCCCACAAGGGCTGCAGAACAAACGATATAAGATAAAAGATAGCATTGTTCCTTTCTGCTTTCAATATAAGTATATTTGGCTTATATTATACAACAATTTTCAATCAATGTTAATTTTATCCTTTTATTTCCTTTCTATGTATCGTTTAAATAAAAATTACGAATGTCAAACTACTCTTTTTTTTTTCTTTTGCGATACGTATTGGAATATTCCAATAAAATTTCTCTGAACACGACACTAGAAAACAATTTTTAAATAACTTGTATATATTTTACACGAGAATATTTTCGAAATTTCTTTCTTTCGACATACTATTTATTTAAGTAGTAATATAATTTCAATGTCTATTCATTATCTGACAATCAGTATATACATATATATCAGTAAGGGGGCATTCGTTATTTTACTGCTGTCAATACTGTATGTCAAGAAGTTGAAGGTATTATGCACCGTATATCTCATTTTCTATTTTCCGGAACGATAAATATAACCGCATATCAAACATTTGCTCCGTATCGTTTGTTAAGTAGCGTACATAATTAGTATTCGTTTCCCTGTTTAACGTTTACGGAGAATAGTAAGGATGTAAAAATGTAAATAATATCCCAAATATTTGATAAAAGAAAAAAATGTATATTTTAGAAAATCGTTTAGAAGATATTGATTTTTTGACAATTTTAAAAAAAATATACATAATTACAACTTTTTACAAGCACGATAGTTATTAAGATATTGCTAGATAATTATAATATATATCACGATGATTAAGCGCGCGATAATGTTCTCAGTTGATGCGTCAAATTTATAGGAATCAATTGATTATTTAGATGACGTTAGATCATAAAAAGTGTGGATTTAAGATGATAATATATCGTTGAACGAATTTAATCAATAATATCGAGTTGGAAAGTAAAGAAGAGCAATCTTGATCAATTTATAATGTCTGAATGTCTAAAAATCGGTAATAAGTTTTGAATAATAAATTCATTCGGTTCGATTCTCAAAATCAAATTTAGAAATTTAACGAAAAATGGTGGAGGTGTGATTTACGGCGAATGTAAAAAAAAAAAAAAACAAAAATGGACAAAGCTTTGTTAAAAACTTGAGATAAGTTGGCTGTAATTAGGATGTGCAATGTTCTATTGTAGAGAATATTTAAGAAAGATTTTCTAGATGTATCTTTACGACTGCGAGACAGATTCTTTACAAATGAATATTGCCTGTGGCAGTAATTTCTTTTGCCTTTAGAAAAACAAAGTCCAAAGCAAACCTGAAGTATAGAAATTTATAAATTTATACCACGTATCTTTTATAGATAATTTTATCTACTTTGACGAACGTTTATTTTTACATTATATAATATAAAAATATAATATATATATATATATATATATATATTCAAAAACTATTTGTAAAAATCAACATCAAAAAAAAATATATTTTGGTATATTATTTTATATATTTTATATATATATATATATTCAAAAACGAGTTCGAATAATTGCAACATTGTAAAAATCAACATCAAAAAAGAAATATATTTTGGTACATTTTTTTAATCGATACTTTGTTTAGAATTATTCCAATTAATTTGATAAACGTCATCGAGTATCGCGTATCTTTTCATCTAAGCGTATTTTACACGTGATTGTTCAATCAATGAACAAGTATAATACAATGTAATATATAGTACAGGGATAAAATATATCTATGGGAAAGAAGATAAAGAAAGAAGAAATTTGGGACAAAGTAGAGTTAGGATTAATTTGACGCCCTAAAAGATAGATATATGTTAAAATCGATTCTGATGCAGCACTACTGCCTTTCCACTGGTCATGAAAACTGCCCTCGTTCCATTTCACCAGAACGGAGAAGTAGGTTAAAATACAGCAATACGAAACTTATGAACGCTACCCGCCTTACCCGATATGCCCGATTTTAACTTTCCGGAGGTGGTCCCTGGTCAATTTCCGACAGTTCCGCGTTACAGTGTTGCGGCCACGTAGACTACCCAACTTTGAGCATCCAATACACTCGTATAAATTGATACGCGGTATAAAAATGCCGAAGCGAGTGTACATCAGCGACTCAAGAGGAAGGATCGAACAAATCGAGTCTCTCGAGTTTCTTTTTTTTTTTTATTGTTAGTTAAAAAGCGATAGATAAATTCAGAAAATTGGACGAGTACAATTTTTATATTATTTTTATTTAGAGAGAATTAACGATATATTTCGAATTAATTTTGAACGGTGAATAATATGGTATGTCGTAAAAATGTTGGAAAATTAGCTTTGGGTATTATTGCAAAAATAACAACGTGATATATATATTTGCACGATTACTTAATTATTACTTTGCATAGAATGTCTATCGAATAATTTATGCAAAAATGCAAATTGATTTACTTTTGACCCTCTTATCTAACTGTGACAACATTCTTGTGTAACTTTAATATAATACGATCTGATTATTCATAAATATATTTATAATTTATACTTATTGTACGAATGAATCTCACGTACACCCTCATGTGACAACGATACACGTGATACGAATAATTATTCTATCAATTAAATTCTTTATTAAGTATCATAATCAAGTGTTATTTTAAAGATAAACGTCAAATAAACATCGCGTTAAATTATGTTAATAATAGAAGATTTTGAGATTTCATTGACTAAGTACTTGTGTTACATATAAGTATATGTAACAAGTTGCATACTTTACACGTTTCAGCCTGCAATGAATCATAAAAGTATTTTTAAGTATTTGTAATGAGCGAATTGTTGATTTCATAGCTTTATCACGTTATAACTTTATAATTTTTTCTTATGAAAAACTTGTTGACATCGATTGTTTTATCGATAATAATTAAATCTGCTGTATTCATTAAGTATAATTATGTATAAATAGGTATAAATAGGTAGGTATAAATAAGTATAGGTGTGTAATAACGATAAAATACGAAATACAAAAAACATATAGAACTTTAAATAGGGGGATTAATTAAGTATTTGAAAACGTTATCGTTATATTGATTAAACTTTTTTTTTTAAATATAAAAATTAATATTATTATTTAAGACTTAAAGTGTGCTAAGCAAAAAGAGTCACGCAATTGAAACTAGCTTAATAATCTGTAATCTAATCGAGAAAATGCAATATGTTATAGTGAATATAATTATATCGTACATTTTTATTTGCTTACAATTAACGTTTAACGATAAAACATTTTACATTCATTTGATTAGTAACATATTTAAATACCGAGATCAAGTTTTTTACAAGATGTTTATTTTTTTGATATCTTAATACTCTATTGGAATATACCTACATATAAAAAAAAGAAAAGAATTTAATTAAAAATTCAACTTTATAATATTGTCTATTAGAGAAGATTTTCCAGAAAAATAGATTTTTTTACAATATTAATTGTGTTTTCTATCATTTTTTAAAATGAAAATAAAATTTATAATTATATATTTTTTTCAATCTACTTTTATTCATAAATAATCCAGATTAATAATTTACAAACTTAATTAATGATTTGTAGAAATTATAATTCAAAAATTTTAAACATCTTGAAATTTAAATATTTAAATATCTTGAAATTTAATTATGAAATTAATTTTATAAAGTTTTTTAATAAGTAAAACGAAAAAATCAATTATATAACTTTTAAATAAATTCTATATCATTTTTAGCAAGCATTTAATAAATTTTATATTAAATTTCAATTTTAATCTACTTTGATTTTTTGTCAGTAAGTATTTTATATGTTATATATGTTATCAATAATACATATACAAATTAATTTTTCGATGATAAACTAGAAATATATTTAAAAAATAATTAAAATTTGAATATTAAAATCCTGTTAAGTAAGCATTTTTCATAGTATCAGCAGTTAACATTTGCTTTCTGCAAGATCATATTGCTGAAACAACATATTAATATAATTATGCAAAACGCACATTTTTACATTTTAAAAATTAATTATATGTTTATACTGAAGTATAAAAAAAGGTATGAAAATCAGAAATTTGATGTATAATCTTTTAAATATAAGAAATTTTTCTTTAAACAATTAAAATTTTTTAGGAATTTTTTATAATATTAAAGGCTCTTTTATACATCTTTATTATAAAAGAAAAAAAAAAGATATTCCTCCATGTCTATTAAAAATCAACAAATCTGTTCAATAATTTCCTGTTTAATATTACGTAATTACGCTTCTAAATATCTATAATCACACGTATAATCAATATATATAGTTCATGAATAGTAAAGAATATTGAGAAATATTAACATTTTATTTTATATCGTATGTATTACATTATAATAGATTATTATGTATCTTGAGTTGAAATTTCATTTTGCCAATAACAGTTTATATCAATTTATATAGGTGACATAATTGTTTTTTAAAGGTGCATAAACCGATACGCATGACATAGAAGATAGAGAAATTCGTTTCGATATTGCTATCGACACAGCTGTGTCGAATCCCGGCCTGCACTCACTTCCATTAAAAGTAACCTCTTTTATGCGCGCAATGTTTGCAATGTTTGTTACATTAGTTTAAACATCGCTTTATACTTTGAATTAAATATGTGGAATAATAAAAACTATAATTAATCGTAAAATTCATACATCGAAAGATGCATTGATCGAAAAATGCTAGAAAAATAATAATTTCAATATTATAAAACAATAAATTATATTTGTATATTAATATTTCCTTTATCTAAAATAGCCAACATTACAAAGTGATGAAAAAATTTATACTTTAATCATACTTTCCGCTTTATAGAATAAATTTATAAGATAAAAAAATATATATATTATATAAAAATTTATTAAATATAAATAAATATATCTTATTAAGTATAAATAAATATAAATATATTTTAAATATAAATAAAAAATATTTTATTTATTAAATAATAATATTTTTATTTTTATTTAATATAATAATATTTAATAATATTTTAATAATATCTTTATTTTTATATAATATTATA